ATCTTAGTCCCCACGGGTGACGCCGAATCTGCATTTTGATTTGTAATCGAGGATAGATGTAGATGTCTATGGGCCGCAGCAACCACTTACCATCAGGTGGACTGTGTGCTCGTTTGTCACCCTTATTCTATAAAAAAAGACTCCTTCAAGATTTATATTTTAAATATTATATTTTCTCATATTATGGACAAGTGGTTGACAAGTTAGTCGTTAGTTATTCAGTGAGATTGTTTGATTCAATTATGAAATACACTAATTGTTATTAAAGTTGGATAGGTAGGTACTTAAGATTTCCTTCATATTTACTTATCTTTATAATAAATAAGTAGAACCAAATTAGATCAGGGGCTTACGGGTCAAGATACGCGACCAAGTGATAGGAAATAAGTTAAGTGACCCCGAACTAAGAGAAGTTGCAGAATGTTAAGTTTTTTTTTTTATGTGTTCAACATAGTATGTTTTAAAATCCAATAGTATATTCAAATATAATATATATTTAAATGTATTATTTAATGTATTGCATATTTATTCTATAGTCTATTTTTTATGAAAACGCATATAATTTTTGTATGATAGAATTGTCATATCGGTCCGGAAAAACCGCTGGCGACAATACTCGTATATTCAACAGTTTGGTTGTACGAGGCACTAATAGTAGTGGACTGCCAGCTATCAAGGTGATGAGAATGGAATTTTGAGTTCTGTCGCAGTGTATGATGGTTCAATTCAGCTGCTGGAATTTATTCGTACAATTCCTCTGAGTACTCCCCGTGGTATAAGTATGCGGTAAAAGATGCATAGAGATGCAACGTTTCTTCGCAAAGCTAGTGGATCACGCCGGTCGGAAAGAACTTGATCGTCGATTCGAGCCGCTCGGTCTCCGTTGAATACGGTCAAGTGGAAGTAGCTGATACTGTGGTGCTCCGGCCCAGAAATGAGAACAGTATTCCATATATGGCCGAACCTGCATATTGTAAAGCTGCAAGCGATGGGCCGGCATGAAATACCGTCTCGATCTACTGAGCACACCAAGCTTTTTTGATGCTAGTTTAGCTTTCCCTTCCAAGTGACAGCGGAACTGTACGTCTCTCGAAATGTTGACGCCAAGGATTCCGATGCTGGCTGAGGCAACCAAGAGAGTGCTCTGAATTCGAGGAGATACGACAAAGGGGTTATTTTTTTGCGGTAAACTCGCAAACTTGTGTCATTTGGTGATTAAACTGGACTAGATTTAACCGCCCCCGATTCGAGACTTTGTTTAACAAAGACTCGACTTCAGACACAAGTTTGTTCCGGCACTCGACGACATGTTCCCGAGAAATATTAGCATGGAAGATGTATAAAGCATCACCAGTGCTGTCGTATTTATAACAATGAATGTTACTAGGTAGTATACAACATATCATTGCTATGCAGAAGGAAAAGGATAGGCGATAGCACGCAGCTTTGTGGAACACCAGCATTCACAGGCTTGAAGTCGGAGCATGCATCGTCGACTACGACCTTAATACTCTGATCTCTAAGAAAACTGGTGACCCAATTGCATAATTTTTCGGGAAGGCCCTAAGAGGGAAGCGTTGAAAGAAGCGCTTTGTGCCAAATTCGATCGAAGGCCTTCGCTATGTCCAAACTAACCGCCAGGGCCTCCCCTTGGTCTCAACCTCCTTCGCCTATCGGTAAAACAGGTAGATAAGAATATTACCAGCTGAGCGACCTCTAACAAAACCGTATTAACGCTCACTAATCAGCTGATGCTCTTCAAGATACCGCATGACCCGGCAGTTAATAATGAATTCCATTATTTTGGAGAACAAGGATGTGATGGTAGTTGGAATGGTTCGAACGGTCGCCTTTTTCAACTGACTTCAAAAAAAAAGAGGAGGCTCTCAATTCGACTGTATTTTTTTTAAGTGAAACTTCTTTAGTGTCGTTATGATTTGAAACGCGATGAAACGAAAAAGCGACATTAAAAAAGGACATCTATATGATTTAGCCTGCGAGAGAATGAGATAGAATCTATACTAATATAATAAATTCGAAAGAGGCGCTTTTTGTTTGTTTAAACACGCTAATCTCCAGAACTAAATGTTAAGTAAGTCGGAAGAAAAAGCGCTTCCGAACTGGGTGTTTGCATCCCGGGACGCATCGGCGTCCGACGCAAGCCCTGGCCTGGCCTTGTAACACTCCTGCTTTTGCTGCGACGTAATTTTGCAGGAGCGTCCAAACCAAGCTGCCACCGATAGGCACCACAGATGATGGGATGAAAAGTTCTATCCCCTGAAGCACCACATCGGCAACAGATTCAGCAACGATATTGGGAAGAAAATCTACCCGCATGGTTAGGATACAAAAAAGCCCGTATCCCATCCCAATCCGCTGACCTATAGTGCCAGACACGGGGGCAACCACACAGACACACATACAAACACACATACAGATCGTGCCTGCCATGAACATGTGATGGGCACGGTACTCCGGATAAGGTAATGATCCAAATAGCCAAGAGGGTCATCGCTGGAAACCTGGTAGCCATCCGAATGAGAGATCAGCAGAAGGTCCAGCAGGGAAGGTATATGATCCTCCACATTTGAAATCCGAGTGGGTGAAGTGACCAGCTGTGTCAGACCATATGCCAAAAAAAACGTTAGTGCGGCGTGATGTGCATTGAAATCGCCAAGGAGCACAATTTCTGCGGCTGGGATTTGTTGTAGCACGGAATATGTAGCCATTTGGACGTGTTCAATGAGTCAGTCTGTCTCGGTATTACCGCTTTGGGACCTATAAAGGCACCCATAGACGCGGAGGTGGTCGTCACCGTCTATGCGTAGCAACAGGATTGACAAGTCCCTGCCTTCAAGCCTACCGAGGTACCGAGAGCTACTCTCTGACGTACACATAAGGGCCGGCCCGAGGTAGAAAGGTATGGTCCAGCTTGTATCCTGAGTACTATCAATGAGATGTGTCAGCCAGAGAGGTCAACTGAGTCTCGGTAAGAAAGACCAAAGCTGGCTTAACCATCTCGAGATGATGGTGGACAGCGTTAAGGTTTGAATTAAGTCCTTATATTGCAGAAATCCACAGTGAGGAGGGGGTGCGGCTGAGATTTTGCTCCGTTTACTTCGTGTAGTATAAGTACAGAGCGGAGTTGTGCCCCCCTCCCCCATTCGCGGGGCGGCCTGAGCATCTACGCCCAGGAGGAAGATTGTTTGGGCGTGGATGCCCAGTGAGGGACTATTGATGTAGATTTTTTTTAAACACCGCTTTCATATTTCTTGATGGGCCACCAGATACCCACACTCACCAGACGAAACACAGAAGTATTAATTCTTCTACTTCACGCTGGTATTCTACGCGCCGTAGCCGTGGCCGTGGTACTACTCTGGTCGAGCCGGCCCATTCATGCAACAACGAAAGTTGCTGTATGGCTCTACCACGTTAAAGATCACCATTTGAAATAATGTTGGTTTTATCTATACAAATAAATAAAATTGAAGTGTCTGTTTGTAATGTCAAAATAACAGCTTTTTACTAAATGCAAATGAAAGTATATACGATACTTATACTCGTAACAAAAACAAAACTTTTAAAAATTTTGTCTGTATGTCTGTTTGTTCCGGCTAATCTCCGAAATGGCTGGGTCGATTTTGACGGGACTTTCACCGACTGATACCTGATGTTATAAGGAGTGACTTAGGCTATTTATTTTAGAAAAATAATTAGGGTTCCGCGCAAAATAATTAAAACCCTAAATTACACGCCGGCGAAGTGGCGGGTAATAGCTAGTAGTTTATAAAGTTGCCAACTTAATTATATTGAAATTTGCCAATAAGTGGTGGCGTCAGAGAATTCCCTCGTCACCGCGTTTTATCATCGCGTGGGTGATGTAAGAGGTGACGGAGTCTCATGAAACAGGAGATGGGCAGCAGAATTCTGCAACTCAAAATAATAAAAAACTGCGCGTGCCAACCTAGCTTGGTAACTTTCGATATCCCCCTATCAGCCAATCTTTGGAGGAGACCTATGTTTGGCTGTGTTAAAAAATTATATCCACCTTTTACAACACTGTTTACAACTAACATTTTTTGGTAAATCTTACCTTGTAAGATGTTGCATTTGCATATAACATTCGTTATAGATAGTAAGTTAGGCACTAGATATAAGTATATATTTTTAAGTGCTACCTTACAATGCAGGAGATATCAAAAGTCCCGATACAACGCTTATACGGTAAGTTATATTTGTTAACAAGCAATGGGAGGGGATAGACAATCCTAATAGGTACCAACACAACCGAACTCGAAAATTACACAAAAATGTTTCGTCCGCCTCTCACATCTGTATTGCACTGCATAGCAGTAAATAAATAAATAAAATAAACAAATATTATTATAATACCTATGTCTTGTTTCTAATATAAGTAAATAGTTGCCTTCAACGATTTCTTTATATGTATGAAATATGAATGCCTTCATCTTTACCTGAACAAAGCATTGATACAAATTACAAAACACGACACAGCGACGATCGACGAATCATGTCAACAAAATAAATCAAGAGATATGAACATCAGTAAAAACCTCGACAAAGCATTCCTAACGACAAATCGCACCGCACGTAAATAAAGTGCATCCATATTTCAGCCTATAAAATAATGATCGCCAAGTAAACGTGATAAAATACTATGCAATATGTTAAACGATACAAAAATTAACAGCCAACGTTATAGTAATAATCAGAATAGAGAGAGAAAAATATGTTAAACCTTAAAAACAGCAATTACATTTGCCTGACTATAATATGTTCAATGTATAGTGTAGTAAAATTGACGCTTTATCTTTAAAATGACCCACGCTGGAAGAAACCGATAACTCCATTTAGGGTCAGTATTTCGCAGCCGTCTGAAGCAGTGGCATATCTGACACGTATCGTTCTACTCGTGTTTCGTGCTCCTACGGCCGCGGCCCTTTCTTTTTTCTTCTATTTTTTTAGACAAAGATTTCATGGTGCTAACTAGTGCTTACTATTTAAACGTTTTAAACAGCCTACGCTCCGGTCTTGAAAGCAACATACTTACTTGCATCGGTTTGAATTTAGAAAACATATTTCCCAAACTGTGTAAAGGTAAATAATTATAAGTAATATGTGGTATTTCACTTATGTTTCAAAAAGTATATTAACTGATTAATAATTTAGAAATATACATTTCATAAAAAACAAGTTCACCTCGTCTATTTTATCTATATACCTACCTATGTACTGTAGCAGTTACCCTTTAAAATGATATTTATATAAGTCTGATAATACTATCATTAGGTACCATAAGTCGTCTCTACAAGAGGGCTGGAATATTCCTTGAATGTCATTAATAGTATTGCAAATAAACATTTACCTACTAACTACTTTTTATACAACAATTACATGTGTTTAAATTGTATGAGTTAGACTCGACTTTTGTTTTACAGCCTGCGAAAACAATAAGATGGCTGCAATTCCTCCGTCGGCATTTTCTGCAGGTCGTATCCGTGAAACAGAGCGGAACATGAAATTATCGAACATCAATAAAGGAAACCCTTCACCTAAATATTTCAACAATAATGGTAAGCGAGTCATTTCTAAGAAAATGTACATATACCTTTTGCTTTCAACTGAACTGAGGTATAACGAAACTCATACTTTTTTACCAAACCAATACCACAAAGCCAGTATCTACACAATCGAATAATTAACCGAATAGGTACGAATCGTAGCTTTGTTCGCTGTACAGCTCACCAAATAAAACCCCAAACAAACAGACAAATTGTATGCTTTGTCTGAGCATACAATTTGTAAAATTAGGTGGCTAATCGTATCAAAATAAGATGAACAGACTTTTTTATAAGTAGAATAAGGGTGACAAGCGAGCCCACAGTCCACCCGTTGGTAAGTGGATGCTGTGGCCCATAGACATCCTCAATTAAGAATCAAAATTGCATATGTGTTGCCAGTTGTCTCCCTTGTGGATTATAACTAAAGAAATTACAACTTCGAATATTATTTTTGTTGAAATAACGTGTAAAAGAACCGGATGTATTACCTACTTAATATACCTACAAAAAAGCTTTCGAAGTTAATTCATTACCGTAAAGTTGCGGTGTAAGAATATCTACTACCTCATATGGTCCCGTGGGTGTCGTCAGAGGCGACAGAGGAATTAAACTAGGAGACGGGCAGCAGCACCTTCCTAATAAAATTATAAAATAAAAACTGCGGTTGCCAAACCGCATGCTATGCGCGACAACCTGTGGCAAATATACTATTTACTACTACGTTTACTTTTAAACCTTAAAAAACAACTATTTTTAAAATAAAGAAAACTCTGATCTCAATTTCGAAATCTTAGTGAGAAAATATAACACGAGTTTCGTTTGGGTTTTAAATTGATCTTTATCTTTATTTATAATTTTAATACATAAAAAGCAACTTAAAAGAGCGCAGGTACACTGCAAACTCTACAAAGCTTCGTAAGCAAGTTATCCTTATGAATACTCTAACCATTTAGACCTTCGAATTAAATAATTGATATACTAATGTAATTATTTAACCCTTAAATAATCAAAGTATATTAACACGTTGACTGGCATGTGACCCACATATGCGTTGTTGCTATTGTCTTACCATTGCGTCTGCACACCGGACAGTGAGTGTTACCCAAATATGAAATACTTAGTATAAAAGTCATTGTTTCCGTCTTTCTTTTAGTTGATTTTAATATGAATATTGTCTAAACTACGCCTAAAATCATATTTTGTTCCTGCAGTTACAGAGCTAACTCCGCTGAAATATAACAGCAAGTTGATGAACAGTATCTGGGGATTTTACAACCGCTACTCGCCACACAACGTGAAGAAAGTTAATGACGCCATTTCCTTTAATGGGGAATTGCAGCAGTAAGTAGCGCATATACTAAACTAAAAGTGAATGACGTCAAAACTTATTGTTGTTCAGTCAGGACTAAAAGATTTGATTATCTCGCCTGGAAGATTTGATTATTGCCTTGAATTTCATATTACCTCTAGTTCGTCGTCCGAATCTGCTTCTATTGCAATAAAAGTAAAAAACAAAATAAAGTTGCAGTCTATACACCCCACTGTAAGTCACAGCCATCATCTCATTTCTGGAGGCACTCTCTCGGAAAGAGAGCCATGGTAGCTCAAGCCTCTTTTGTCCCCTGCGCTACAGGGATGATATGGGGTAGTTTTAGAATACTAATATTTATAACGTACTCTACAACAATAAGTTGAAAATCAAAACTTATTTGTGGCTAGCACTCTGTGGACGGAGGTTAATAAGTTAAAAAACGTACGCTATACCCCTCCGGGTTCTCACCTTCGAGTCCCTCGAGGACCCCATTTTATACGGCTGAGCTATGAGCTCCATGAACATGTAAAAGCCAACTGGTTAACAGCAGGCCCTTTCAATATACGGCGAAAATGGAACAGCATAAGGTCGCGCAACAGTCGGCGCGAGTTCTTCATAAACAAGAGGACCCGTTCCTCCGCGAAGCGTGTATACGTAGGAATTTCTCCATGTTAAAAAAGATTAAAAATGGTTTTTTCTTTTTAATATCGCCTATCAAAATCCATTGCTAAACATAGGACTGGCCACACTTAGCAAGCGGGTTGTCAACCGTAAATATTAAACACGTTTTATTATTTGTTAAGATTAAATATTATAATTTTGCTAGATATATATTTTTTTTTTCTTTTACAGATCTGCTGTCAATTCCTCTACCAAAAATGAACCTATGATAGTTTTACCTACACCCAAACTCGATAATGTTTGGGCTACAATCAATGTTTAACAATCACAAATAAAATTATTAAAAATAAAATGCATTAAATGTATCGCAACAGTTTTCTAATCCGATAATGTTTAAAATAAATACCATATAACATAATATAAAATAAATACTTTGTGTTATTCCAGTACCTAGGAACGTTTAATTAATGTATATTTATTATTATACAAACTGACCAAGCAGACGCTGTTCTTCCCTTTCCGACGATCCTTTGTCCTGTAAAAATCTTTTAATTTGCAATAAAAATATTGAGGGTAACGTATTAGGATAAAAACTATATCTCTCAAGTGGCAGCAAGCAATACACATATACAAAATTTCATTAAATACGCGGTTTCTCGGAGATTAACTTGAACGGATTACGTGACACGGGATTTTTATACATTAAGATATTAATTATATTAAAATTAACCTAATTGATTACATATTAGGTAAGTTCATTACACATTTAACTTTTAAGAGGCCAAGCGTGAGACTTATGAAACCATCGACTCTTATATACACTACACACATATACACATATTATGTGCCCGAGTATTAAATTGCTTGTTTTATTAAAACATTAAATGTAAAATCTTTAAATTTTAAAGAACTCGAGTCGATACGAGTATGATACGAGTATATATAAATAAAACAATGATGTTAGATGCGATTCGATCTGCGTGCACTGGCAACTTCAATTATTTTATGTTGATTTTTTTTTTGTTTATGAAAACTATAGAATCGATTATGAAAATCTAATTAGGTACTTGTGCAAATAAGCGTCGGATGAACATGGTTTGAAGTCATTTAATATCATCATTTCTTCTGTTAAATCGGATTCTGTGGAACTCACAGGCCTCTCTCTACATGATGTTGAAATTTTTAATATCCAATGTCGGACATGGAGCAACACGGGCCACCGACTGACTGGAAGGGAATAGCCAGATAAATAAATGGATCGATACAAAACTGTCTGTCCTTTTCTGCGGGAGGAAATCTGCGCACACAAAAACAATCGTCTGTCACTAAGAAACTCACACATAAACAATTCAAACGTAACACTAACAATTTCACACACACATAGATAGTAGACACATTAAAACACTATCGCTCGGTGACAGCTACAACTCGGATCGGTCGTTCGACCGATCCGCAAATTATATGCCGTTGGTAAACAAAATCCGAAACAAAGGCATCGTTATTATTGTAATTTTTAATTTTAAAAATAAGTAAATAACAATAAAATAATAATAAATGTAAATGTTCTAAATAAACATTTTGCTACTCCTCCTATGACTTTAGGTCCCTACATCAAATCAAACACATTACTCACATTGTCGCGTAACGTGAAACCAGACGTTTTCCCTTGTGACGGAGGAAGATGCCAAATAATCCATTCAAGCCATCTATTCAACTGCAGTTGGTAACGACGGTCTATGCTCGAAGATGATTATGCCAGTTCTACCTCTACTTCTTCCAATTCTTACTCACATATTTAATTTCTCCTCATCGTCTTCATCTTTTCCTTCAGTTTGGAAACAAGCATATATAATTCCTTTACCTACGGTTTCTAATCCTTCTTCTCTCTCTCACTCTCGTCCCATATCTATTTTACCCTTTCTTTCTTCTTATCGTCTAACTCTTTGCTTTCTACATATCAGTCGGGCTTTCGTCTTGGTCACAGCACTGTCACTGCTTTACTTAAAGTAATCTATGATATCCGTTGGGCCATGGGCAACAAATCTCTTACACTTCTAGTTTTGCTTGACTTTAGCGTGCTTTTACCTCAGTAGACTTCGATATTCTTCTCGGGATCTTGGAATCTATAAACATTTCCCCATCTGCCATTACGTGGTTTGATTCGTATCTTCGAGGTCGCTCGCACTGTGTCCGTCTTAATGACACTCTTTCCGATTGGTCTGGTATCACTATGGGCGTACCTCAGGGTGGCGTTTTTTCTTCTCTTTTATTTTCTATATTTATTAATTCTATTACATTACGACAGTTATTACATCTAATTCCCATCTTTATGCGGACGACTTACAGCTGTATCGTCATTTTCCGGTGTGTAATACAAATAAAGCAATTGAAGCCATGAATGCGGATCTGAGCCGCATCTGTAAATGGTCTGCATCCTTTGGACTATTAGTTAATCCCATGAAATCGCAGGCCATCGTAATAGACAGCAGGCATTTGCGTAATAAATTAGAATTTACATCATTACCTCACGTTTGCTTTAACGGCGTTCCTATAGCCTTTGCCGGTACTGTGAAAAACTTAGGCGTCATATTTGATCACCATTTATCATGGTCCACACACATCGCTGAGGTTAGACATTTAAATTAATGCAAGGTAAAGTAGACCTTCTACTTTACCTTGCGTTCATTTAAATGTCTTCAAAATGTCTTATCCCTAAAAGCTAAAATATCAGTCGTGCTCACTCTTATCCTACCACTGCTTGATTACGCTAACGCCAGTTATTTGGATGCTACACAGGAGCTCTTTAACAAACTCGAGCGCTTGCAAAATCATGTTATCCGTTTCATATTTGGGCTCAAAAAATTTGACCGAATATCTCAGATTCGCAAGCAACTCAAGTAACTCCTAATTCGACTTCGTAGGAACACTCGATTGTTATATCTCCTCTATAACATCCTGTACAATCCATCTTCTCCCTCATACGGAATACACATACAGAAGCCGATTTTCCTTCACCCATCCTCCGGAAAAACCATGGAAATCCCTTGTTGGAATGCTCCATGGAAAACTCTTCTTAACTTTCCCGTCCATAATTCCGGTTTTTACTCCTACTCCTTTTCTGTCCACGCGGTTAGGTTGTGGAACTCACTACCGCCTAATATAAGAAATTCTGAAACATTATTGGTATTTAAAAAACGTGTTAGAGATAATTCCTTTGCATCCTGTTAATTAATATAGGTATATATAAAAAAATGTATAGTGTAACTATACTAAACTAATACGGTCAAGCCGACCCATTTGTGCTACAATCATAATACATTTGCAGAGTGGCTTTACAACGTATTAAAAGACCAAACAAGGGTGGATGTTAATTTCTTGAAAAAAAAAATCGCAATAATACTCAGTAATAAGTTCTAGAACAGACACCGTGAAAATATCTATGTAACAGTGCGGGTTGCGTGGAAGGAGGCACAAGGTACATAATACCACAAATAAAAATAGTACATACTGTATGTATTATTTTTATTTGTGGTATTTTTTTATAGTATCATTTAATATAAAGGGACATCAGGGTGGACTGCTATATCGTCTGGATCCATACTTGACCTTAATTAGACGTGGGTAATCGGGCAAGGAGAATTAAAAGAAGTAGTTCACACAAAATGTAATTAGGGTATTATCACAAAATTATTATAGGCACTGAATCGTTAAACACCCCACCAAGAACGTAGCGCTTATTCGCGATGTGAACCGATCGCCGTCTCGATGCGAACTGCCTCGTCCTCCCTCTTTCTTTTCGCACTAGCCCTCGGTGTTGCGTCAGAGTGAATGACAACCGATTACTTCGTCAGATGGCGTTTTGCATATCCGGTTGACATTCACTCTTAAATAATCTTGGAAATAATTAGACGCGCCGTCACGGCCGGACTGACATTAGCACATCCTCGTGCTGCTTTTGGTGTAGAGTTATTCTGTAACAATAGGAAAATAAAACCCGCTGGGATTACCACTTTCATTCGCTCGTCCTATCCTGACATGAATAGGTACACTGTCCCCAATTTTGGACATTTAGGAACCCACACACATATAGGCAAGGCGTTTGACCTCATGTAAACTAATACTGGCTAAGGCGTCCTTTCGACCAACCATCATCTCATATGATGACTTGGGCCGAACAACCTAGCCCTCGACTAGCTAGCTCATAGAGCGGCAGCGTCCCTTCGACCAGTCGTCATCTCATATGACAACGTGGACCGGACAACTTGCTCTCTATCCGTCATCTTATATGACGATACCTAACTCAGAGAGTGACAGCGTCCCTTCGACCAGTCATCATCTCATATTACAACGTGGACCAGACAACTGGCTCTCTACTCATCATCTCATATGACGACACCTAAATTAGAGCGACAGCATCCCTTCGACCAGTCGTCATCTCATATGACAACATGGACTGGACAACTGCCTCTTTACACGTCATCTCATATGAGTACACTTTAGACAGTTTAATAGCATCGATTCATTCCCATAACCGACATTCTAACCTTAAAGTTCCTCGCGTTCTGATGATGAGAGGGTTGCTGAGCTTGCCGTTTCGGTACGACCGCTGGACACCGATATTGTGTCACTGTCCTCATCTGTTGTTAGTGTCCTATCATATTGGCTCTGCCCCGCCGTCACGAACTCCTCCTCATCATTATTAATTAACGAGGTAGCGATCTCTACCAGACCGTTATAGCCCCCGGGTACTAAACGAAGATTTTCGTGAGCATATTTGTAAATCCTATTAGACCCATCAATGTTTTTCAGCTCATACCTATCATTTTCTAACACCTTAGTGATTAAAAATGGACCTTTGAATTTTTTATGAAGTTTTGTCTGATTGCGCTCATTGTTTCTTATAAGAACATACTCGCCTATGGGGAATGGCTTCACGACTGCCTTGCCTCGATTGCATCGCTCTACTTCTGCTGCAGCTGCTTTCGCAATGTTGTCAGCTCCATTGCGCTCTACCTGACCGTTTGCTCTACTAGATCCTGTTGCGATGAGATGAAGGTCTATGGAATGATCCCTACAAAATTCTCTAAACTCGGCACTTTAGCATCTCCCTTGGTCCGCTATAACGCATTTAGGTGATCCAAAAAGGCAAACCGCCTTTTTTAGAGCTTTAATAGCTATTTCTAAAGCTAGCTTATAATCTAAAGAGGGGGTATATTCAAGAAGAATGTATTTGGTGAAGGAATCGATAATAACCGATGAATATTCGTTGCGATCACTTTTTCCACTGAGTTTACCCGTGATATCAATGTGTACGGTATGCCA